AGAGAGAGAGAGAGAGAGAGAGAGAGAGAGAGAGAGAACATCAAAGCGGCCTTTGTAAATCCGTTCAGCGTTTCTTATTTCCATAGAACTGTTTCGCATAAATCCGCATAAGCCGCTAAATATGGATGAAAACAACACAGCGACGTCGGCGGGTGGGCGGAAAAATCACCGCGATAAATTGGCACACAGCGCACACTTTGATCTCCGTGCGTATATCCTGCAAAAACTTCTACTCGCACTTTCACATCAATGCGTCGCGACGAGTTGGTGTGTACCGTTCATTTTATATTTTATTCGAGAGTTCCCGCCTCAATATTTAATAGATCCAGGAGACTCGCGCATACACGATCGGTTTATGCAAATCACGATCGATCAAGGAATGACGTCGACTTTTCCGACACTTTGAAGCTCCCCAGTAGTTCCTCGTCATCGTCTTCGGGCGTCGTCGCGTTCGTCATGGCGCTGCGCGCGACCAAGCGAACTGCAAGAATTATCATAACTCGACAGTCTTGAGAAACGGCAGTCTCTCCGGCGAGCGCGCCTCGCCATTTCGAGATTATTTACCCCAAAGGTCTGTAAAGTTTTCTAACAGCTGTTGCTGGGCGAGCCCGCTCCCGTCCCCTTCCTCCCCCTCCCCTTCCTCCCCCCACGATCTTATTTCGCCTTCACCTGCTGCTGCTGCGCGAGCTAAAACAGATATCTTTCTTGCTAGCAGAAGTACTTGGAACTCTCAAGCGGCAGTTACCCGATGTGTTTCTGCACCGTCCGCGCTCGAATTCCGTCGAGAAAATTTCCGCCGAAAACTGAAAAGCCGTATTTCTTACGTGCGCACGCGTAATGAAGCGAGAGCGAAATAAACGGACGTCCTGGAGCCGCACAATGGTGACTATTCTTCTTCGGTATGATATACGACCGTACTAATAGCGATAATAATTCTCGACGCGCAATAGTATGATCATCAGTTTCTTTTCGTGCGTTGCATACCGACTCGCATCAACAATATCTCTTTCGATGAATATAGCTATTCCGCCCCTTCCTCACTTCCGCTTCCCAATCCCTTCACTCTATCTTTTGTACGTGCAAAAGAATTATTAAATATTCAGGAGAGATTCTGGAGGAAAATGTTGCTCGTAAGCTATCGTATAATCATAGGAAAAAAGGAAAGTCGGCTGCGACAGTAAGAATCTGTGTGTGATAGCTAAATCTCGTTGTACACAGAGAGAATAATATAGTTTCTTCTTCCATATGAATTCTTTCTGATTTTACTATGTTTTTAGCAGTGCAGGAATAGACTGTCAGTGCAGTTTATCTTGCTAAGTAGCATAGTAAATTTCGTTGGAAACATAGCAAATGTTTCAACAATTTCTACATTTCAGTTCCTAAAAAGTAAGTGGTATATGTGAAAATTAGTGAATTACTGCAGAATGTCGATCTGTTCCTCGGTTACAAAGTCATATAATAATTTTTAAATAAAATTCCCTCTATGTACAAATACTCCTATAGAAGTATATGCAACTATTACCAATAGGCATATACAGGGTGTTATAAAAAAGCATTTAGCATTCATATGGTATAGATAGTATACACCACACTGAGTAAACAAGCTTAGTAAACATAGATCGACAAATTCAATCATTTCTGAGATACAATTTTGTACGAGAATAATCTAAAAAAATAAAGATCGTTTGCAATAATTGTTGCGCAAGTCATTCTTTTTCCTCAATTTAAGGTTGGTTCGTCTTTCTAAGCTGTTTTCTTAGTGTTCCAAGAGTTACGTGCGTTTCCTCAATACATATTTTTGTAAACATTATGCGTCATTAAATAAACCCTATTATATAAAATCCCGTCGACTATAAAGTACGGAGTGTTATTCGACTCTTGAATACTTAGAAAGTGAGAACGATATTTATCGATATTTATCATCAATTAAAGCAGATATATAATGACGCATGGCAACGAATGAACGGAATGTGAGAAAGTGGTGTGAAAAGTTTAATAATAGACGAATAAACGCGCATGACGAAGATTGACCTTGTAAACATATATGATAAATGCTTGAAATGAAAAAGATGATTATAGGTATGGAGAAATAGAACAAAGTACTGTGTTTAAAAAAAAATATAAAATTGAATGATAAAATGTTTTCTTAATTTCTTAAAGCTAAACAATCTTTACTTTCTGGATTACCCTCATATATTATTATCATAACTAACCTATGGCTTTTATGTGTCGCATGCGACGTGAAGATTTACGTCGGTGTTTACTGTCGCGTTTTGAATCTCCTCATTCAATATCCATAGAATATTTCATAGAATCTTTAAAAAGATCCAACAATCGTTCAATTAATTTTACAACTAGCGATTGCGGATCAGTTTGGCGATTATGTAGTTACAAAGTATCGTGCTGAAAATGTCAACGTATTACTCTAATAAAAAATGGTAGATATGCATTTTATGTGTGTTTGTGCTAATGGAAATGCTTTAGTTGCGCAACATCTTTATGCGGAGAAACTTCCAATATACAAAATTGTTTATATCTCAGAAACGAGTGAGTTTTCGACCTACTTTTGCTAAGACTCACTCAATATAATGTGTGCTATCTACTATATAAATACTGAATGCTTTTTTAACATCTTGTATTTAATTCCGAATTAATTCTATTCGCAAAAACAAATTTTTTTCTATTCATTATTGTTCCTAGTTATATAATAATGATATCTGATTTTTCCTTTGATATGCTGCATTACTTTTAGTGAAAATTATATTTTGCATAATAATAATTTTCTATTTTTCATATATCGTAATAACCAGAATATTTTGTTCATTTTTATAATAAGTGAATGCAACGTTAATAAATTGTAATTATTTATGGAATGGCCAGCGCGCGCGTGGAGAGATGATGAGTGCCGACAATATATTAATTTTTACTATTACAATTAAGCGATAAAATTAAAATCCTGCCTAGCATCATGAGAGACAGAGTTGCCAACAACGTTTCATAATTTGGCGATGAAAAATATCGACTAGTTTGACGTTTCAAACTAATCGATTGACTTAAAGTATGTGTTGTTTCAAGGTAACGATGAGTGCGAAGGGAAATACATTTTTAGCAAACCATGATTAGTTACGGCAATGAGATCTTTTTTCCACGTAACATAACGTTTAAAAGACATCCTAAAGACGCTTGATCTTACTCGTTTTAGATATCTGTAGAATGTCTTTAATATTGTATTTCAAGTATTTATACTGTTCGGCATTTTGTACATTATTTCCAGCAGAATTATTTTCTTTTGCCTTCTTAATCAGGATGGAAAAACCATCGACGATATATCGCGGATGAGCAACACGACTGCATAATGACGTTATACAGCGGACTGTGCTGCATGACGGACGTACGCTCTCGAGCGGCGAACGTCATCAGCGTGAGAGATATTGCAGTGATAAACGTAGCACCTTCTTGGTACGATTGTACCTGGGCGAGATTAATCGCGGCCATTCTATTTCCTTGGTAACATCGGCTCGCGAGCTCGGTCACGGCGGATACAATGGTCGTGCGTGATTCCAGGATCAAGTGGAATAAGGAAACGTAGGTCCGGCGGTCCGCCGCGGCGCTGCGCGACGCGACGCGACGCGGCGTTATTTCCCCGTCGTTCAATTAATGGCGGTATTTGTAGCTCGCACGCGACGCAACTTAACCGCCCGCGACAAAATAAGACTCCAGCGGGGATGGAAAAGACTTGTCGCGCGCGGAGTCGCGGCGACGGCGGAAACCGCCTGCCATCGGGAGCCGTTCTTGCCGACCTAGTCTCTTTCGCTCCTCGTGCCGTTGGCACATCCCCTTCATCGCAAAACTACTCCACGGCCATTGTGTTTCTTAAAACCCCGACAATAACGACGACTATCCGGCGGCTCTTGGAGAAGTTTTATCGCGGAAGCGTATAATGCGCGACCGGAACTACCGTCCGCAACGAATGCCACGTACGCTTTGTGTGTATGTAGCTGCCACGCCGCGGATACAGCGGCGACCAAAGCCGCGGGTCCGTCCGTCCACCGGCTAATGCAACGTTCTACGACAATCTTGGGAGATTTTTGCAGAGCGCGTAAGAATGGAGAAAGATTCCCTCCAAATGTCCCTCGATACCGCGACGAAAGGAGAGATCTCCTCCGCACTGAGGACGTCTCTTGGCACACGCCAAGATACTGTTTCAAAATCTTTATCTCAGCATCGGAGAATTGAGTTTTCTTCGATAGGAAGTAGACTTTGACGTACAGCGGATTGCAAGACGGTTTAAACACAATGAATGATAGGAGCTCATCAAACTGTTAAACTTGACAGTCATTATCGACAAGCTGTTACGCAATAATAATATAATAATAATTGAGAACATTACATAACATTAAAAAATAATACTAATAATAATTATTAATAATAATAATTAATTGTGTAATTATTGAGCAAGCTTATATGGTAATAATTTTCAATTTTGACAGTTCGGTGAGAAAGAGAGAAGCTCATTGTGTCTAAACCGTTTT